AGGAATTGAATATAACAGTTGTTCACCACAGCTGCTATTATAAAGGACAATTTTAATTGCATCAAGCCTTAAACTTAGAACTTCCCCTAGGCTTTTAATTGACTTTTAAACCACTCTTCCCCTTTTATTTCTTTACTATAACTTTTTTCAACAGTGTTTAGTGTCTGCTTAGTTATTAGGTATAATACTGTGTGATTGTAGCTAATGTATTGATTGGATTCAATTCTTTCAGTAGCATCCAAATGAACAGAGACATATTTAGTTTATTGGTGACTAATAATGTTGCTAATAAACCTAAATTACTAAATTGGTGAAAGACAACTGGATTTTTAACGCACTAAGGTTTATATCATTGCATTGGCTTTTATTTGTTTATGCTTTACAATAAAAGAAAAAGGAAAAAAATTAAAAAGAAAAAGTTTTGAAGAGTTCGGTTTTCATTATTTTCCTGCTTTGTTTGTCAACTGTAACGGTTGCTAAGCGACAGAGCCTACGGCGGTAAAAGGCCACAACAGAGTCCGTCACACCTTCATTTAGGCCAGGAATCCGTCTACGTGATACGTGACGTCACGTTCAAAGAGGATCCCCACCCGTCTGAGTTTCAGCGCGGCAGCAAACAATCAGGAAGAAGAGAAAAATGACAAGACGGTGATAATTGAACCGCAAAATGCGACCCGCTGTTATAATCAGCTGCTTTCTATTGAACACCATCATTCAGACAGGTGAGAGATGATTTGTTTTTCTTTATTAACTCTTTCTATTTCTTCCTCTATTTTTCAACATAAACATCTAGAAACAGCCGGTGGTTTCGATTTTTTATTTAATTTTTTTTCAATTTTTAATGTTTTTTTTTCTTTTTTAAGCATGATGGGACCCCTGTTTTAGTGGTGCATTAATGTAGTGAAACATGCGTACCAAAATGACCTTTAGTCATAATGTACAACAAGCGCTCTGTATAGAGCAGCTTCCTTCCTGCTATTTTGAAGTTCTGATCTAACTCGATCAGACAAGTTTGGTCACTGAAATTATAGCCGATGGTTACTTAAAAACAATTTGTTACCCTGAAGCCACTTTTTAAATAACAGCAGGAAACAAATAAGAAAGTCTTCATCTTGGAAGACTCAATCTTTATCCAGGCTTTCCAGATGATGTGTAGAAATTTTTGCCTGAATATTTCCTATTATTTGTCATGACTATGTCTTATTTAAGATTTTAATGAATTAATAATTAATTTTCTTTGTACTCAGTCTCAATCTTTATACAGGCTTTCCAGCTACTGACTTAAAAATGTGCAAAAAAATGTCCTCATATTTGTTATGAGGATCTATTTATGGTTTTTATTATTTTCAGGATTTGCTGTGTACTTGATGTTTATAGTGATTTTACGGCACATTTGTTCTGTTTTACTGATGTAAAGCACTTTGATTAACCTTGCTGCTGAAGTGTGCTATACAAATCAGTTTACTTTACGGTAAACTTTACTGTATTACTTTACAGTGTAAAGTAATAGGCC